TTTTTAACTTTAAGATTTGTAACGAATAAGCTATTACCATAATGTTATTGATAATATTATTATTATTATTGCAAATAATTTACTTGAAATGCAAAGATAACTAGTCATTTAAAAAAAAATAAGGGAATTCACTTTATTATCCAAGGATAAATTAGCTCAACTTTATTTAATGAACTAAATAGTTAAAAATAACTTACTCTTAGTGCCATATGTATATATATATATATTTTTTACATTATGCAGGTCCAATTTTTAAGCTGCAATAACTATTTGGCGCCCTCTACCCTTCCTGATCAATCAGTAATTTGTAATTTGTGAATACCAGCCTTGTGAATGATAAATCAATACGAAACTTCATATATCATAAAGTAGCTAGAAAAAGGCACTATAAATGTAATATTAATTAAATGTTGATTCAGTGTAGAAATGATAGTTCCGTCGATTTTGTGATTACTTGAAGCAATAAAGTTATCAATTTTGATACTTTTTTATTCATATTTTCAAAGAAGTATAATTATTTACATGACAATAAAAATAAAGACAAGGATCAAACGCATGATAAACGTACAAGAAAAAGCTATTCTCTCTCACTCAAAAAAAAGAAAGAAAACAAAAACAAATTCCAGCTTTTCTTATAGTGATACCCTTTACCTACTAAGTCAAAGTTGACCAATACCATCCTTTTAAAAATCTTCCTACTCTTCCTCCTTTATTTATTTTTTTATTCTTTTTTTTATTTTATTTATTAAAATTTCTTTATTTTTCTAACTAACTTTATTTTTTATCGGCAGTATACAAATGAAGATGCGTATAATAATGTCTGTGTTGGTACATATAATTATGGTTCACCTCAAATATAGTTTTACCATTAATAGAACTGATTTTATGTTTCGAATAAGTAACCCAAATATGCTCATACATAACAGTAAGCTATACCAGACTCTCCACTCTTCCCAACCGTCAGCTCTATTTTTCACCAATTAACAAACTTTTTTTGTTAAAATATATATATATATATATATATATATATATCACAATAGTGCAAAGAGAAGGTTAATTAGAGGCTTTCGTACTAGAAACTAGTCCACATTTTAATACATATATCTGAGTCCCCAGGTTGTGTGTACACCACTTCACAGAACGTATTTTTCTTCTGTTTTTTAACACTATATAAAATATATTATTTTCTTTTAAACCAATACTGTCTTTTCGAATATCTTCCCTCTCTTCCTCCTTATCTATTCTTTTCATTATTATTTTTATTTATATTTTTTTAAAGATATAACTCGTCTTTCGAAGATCCAATGTTCCCTCATCTATGAGAAAGATCTTGCCTAACTAATTTGTTTTACCAACAGCTTTCAAATCAACAAGGGAGAAGAGAAGGACGAGTGAGAAAAACGAAAAGAAAAGAAAAAAATAAGACAAACTCAGTAGATATACATATATATATATATATACAATACACCTTTATGATATGATATTCATCTACAGTATACTAATAATAAACATAAATGTATATATTTATTATGTAGTATAGTAATGCTAGTGTTTCTACCACATTATGGTTCACCTCAAATCTAATTTAACCCTTCTAGGTATAAAAAGCTTCATTAGAAACAGAAGAAGGCAACCTTTATAGATGCTATATTGCCAAAAATAGTTCACATTCAGATACATACATTTACATTCTGAAATTTATAATATTCTATTCCACAAAAAAATGTTGTGTTTTTGTCTGCTTTATGACATTGCATTTACACACTTAGTGATGGACAATGACTCATTCAATCCTACAAGCGTAGCATTATTATTCTTATTTGTTTAGTGAGTTTATATCGTATATCTCACAATCTACAGTCTCGGTTTTATATAAAAGAATAATAATAGAACACCGAGCATGCTCCTCATATTGAGTACAAAATCGCTGGTGTTTTCTGACGCAGATAGGCCTATTCAATGCGATAACAAAAACGTCAGATTCGATGAAACATTATTTTGAATAGGCCAAATATTAACTACAGTATTACTAAAGTGATACAAATTACAGGTTGAAATTCCTAAATAAACAATTAATTAATCAATGAATTCATTAACTCTGCTGCTCGTTTAGTCAAAGAATACACTGCAAGGGTGGATCCAGGACCACGGGGATCCCCACCCCCCAGAAACAGAAAAATGAGAAATCTTTGATTTAAATAGATATAGATAACCAGTTAATAGCATATAAATTATTGAATTGAATAACATGTACCCTGATTTTTATATTTGGTAATGATAATAAAAATGATAAAACACTTCCATTAGCCACTAGTCAAATGACTATGTGGCTATCTTGCTTCCCCAGGTTGTCGTACCGAACTTTCATAAATAATTTTTTTTTTTTAAATCCAGTGTCTATGGTGGAGCATATCTAAATGAAAATCTTAATATTCAGAAGTCGGATGAAGATAAGGTGGAAGGGGTTCCAGTACATCCGCCAATTAATTTAAATTGATAACTTTGAAACAGAATTTCAAGAAAGCGACATACATCGGTAATTACTACTTAGAATCTGTAAATGACTATTTCTGTCAATATTTATTTATTAATATTTTTAACCAGGATGACACAATCAAAAAAAAAAAACGTTTTTCATTGTGGTCCTGGGGGAAAAAACACACACGCACAATATGTAATCACTTGAAAGAAATTGTACAGCGGCTCTTTTGACTACACATATTGCACCATTTTTTGATTATATATTATTTAGCTACTAGGAGATAATCGGTTTGATTCAGCAGTCGACGAACTCATTGATGACGAAAATAAGGTGGATGGGGTCCCAATATATCTGTCATCAGATTATGTAAATATGAAACTGATTTTCAAGAAAGCGACATATAGGCCTATCGGTAATAAGTTCACTACATCGAATTAGGTGACTGTCAAAGATTTCTGTCAATATTTAATTGTGCGGCGGCTCTTTCAAGTAAACAGTGACCTATTTATAGTATTATAGGCCCCTTTTTGATTACCTATATTATTTAGTTATATGATCAGGGGCGAATTTAGAGATAAGATAACCGAAAAGTGGTCGATAGAAAGACAACGTCTTCCACACGGAAATAACATCCGATGCGTTTTAAGCGATGAATAATTTCATTTTCTTTTTCCCCCAATTTTTTTCACTTTCCAAAAGGAGTGGAGACGCCCTCCACTAACCCCCTCCCCCCTTGATAATGATGATGAATCGGATGATTCAGCAATCAATGAACGCAGAATTATATCATTGGGCAAAAACAATACTTTCCCTGAACTGATTAATCGAATAGTACAGCCACATGTGTTTCTGTGTTGTATTTTGTTTATAGATGTTAAATCTTAAGCAAACAGAAGAAAACAGTGGCGGATCCAGAAATTCGAAATAGGGGTAGACCCGGGACGTAAACCTGCCGTGCCAACTCTGAGACAAATGCGGAGGCGAGATGGTTGTTTTTACACATTGATTTATCAATGAATGAATTCATCGACTGCTGAATCAAACTAATTATCTCCTAGCTAAATAATATATCATGAAAAGGTCCTCTATCATACGTCAAGATATGTTTAGTTGATAGGTTTAGTCAAGGAGCCACTGTCCTGATTACTTAAGTGATTAAATTGACAGAAATAATTCTATGTAGTAACTCACCTACCGATATAAGTTTCTTGAAAATCTGATTCATATTTTTTGTCTAACCTATCGCGTCAGTCACACATGATTTCATGGAATCCCCAAATAAGTCGATTTATTGAAAATCGACAAGAATTGTTTTTCATAAAACTTATCAATCAGTAAATATGTATAATGTGGGGGTGTGATATGTGGAGATCATAATCATCAATATTTCGCTATAGGCCTCGAAGTTCGTGATCAAAGTATTTGGGAATTTGTACAGAATGTCGTTACAGTAGTATAATACCATTCATGAAATGAAGAGTATGTAATTGTTATCTCGATGTCGTTTCCGTTCAAGAAAATCCTGAGGGTTGTAGCTTTTTAAAATAATAATCATCATCATCATCATCGTCGTCATTATCGTCATCATCATTATCATCATCACCATCATCATCATCATCATCATCATCCTTATCATCATCATCATCATTTTTCACATACTATTATTACTGCAACCAATCATCCCATATATTCTCCAAAATCGGTCAAAAGTCTATTCTTTATATTTCTTTTCAAATTAGTATTCCCGAGTCAACCAAACAATACCACCAGTACTACTGTACTACATCGCAATAAATAACAGACTTTATAAAGAAGAATGTAGTTCATTGCGGACAAGCAAATTCAACTTTATTGCTGCACATAAAATCGACGACAAAATATTTGCTAAAATTAAATTTCAACTTTATATTCTTACCTTGCCTAATAATTGTCAGCTAGAAGCTGCGAGAAATCAATCCTAAATAACATATTTTTCTGTAATTGATATCACTATTACCTCATAAAAAATATAAATTGCATAGAAGAAACATTCCATTGGTCAATTGTCGGTATGATATTTTCGACTACTTACCTGCGAGTACATATTTATGCAGAGCCGGCCGGAAGTGAAGCTGCAACTAAAAATCTATGGCATGACTGGCTAACAATGATACCAACTGTTACAGTGGCGGCGCTACGGGGAGGTGGGGATTTTCTTGCATCCCCATCGTTTTTCCAAAAAAAAAAAAAGAAAGAAAAGAAGAAAAAAAACCACAATTCGTCGGAAAGAAAAAAATATATGTATTTTCTACATATTATTAGAATTTATATATGAAATCGATTTAATAAGCCTCTGAAACCCCATATATTTTTCGGGTTCCGCCCCTGGACGAGCTTCAAAACATTTTAATCGATGCCCGACCACGCCTACTTTGCTCTCCTCAGGGACCTTGCCTCCTTCTAAAAAAAATTGTACCTTTCCCTCACTCTCCCCATTCCCCCTCCCCACTGACTGTTATCATCCCTGCAATCTGCCTGCAATTAGTGTTAGGCGCCCTCTAACGTTCAGATCATGTCATAATTTGTGTAGTGGTGTGCGATCAATACGTTGTTCGTTTACTTCTTCAGCAAGACTAGACGGCTCAACAATCTTAACATTTAACTGGGATAACAAAATAATCCATATAGTAAATTTATAGTCAAACTACCTTGCTTGTAGGTGTGACTGTTTCAAACGGGACACAACCAGGGGTGGCACCAGGATTTGCCCGACGGGGGCCGAGGTCCCCGACGGGAGGCCGTTGCCCCAACGAGGGGTCAGATTTCCCCGACGAATCCAAAGTGGGCGTGGTCGAGCTTCGATTAAAAGGTTTCGAAAGTGGTCCTGGGGGCGAAAAGTTCGACAATTTAGGGGTTTCAAAGGCTTATTTAATCGATTTTAGAGTCTACTAATATGTAGAAAATACATATAATTGTTTTTTCTTCCCGACGA